TCTGGCTTGCGATTAGCAAAAACCTGAACGTCATTTCCCTCTCTATCCTTAATGGTCTTTTCTTTCGTAAATATATCGCTGTTTGAACCAGTATAGCCAGTAGCAAACGCCCGAAAATTATCAATATTTTCTTTGATGAAGCGGACCGGTTTATCCGAGTCAATTTTCTCAACTTTAAATTTATTATCGTCAGTCGGGTCAGGAGTGGCTTTTAAGTTGGGGTCAATTAGCGGAAATCCTTTGTAGAAACCCGGTTCCTTTTCGATCTCTGTCACATCACCTTGCTCATAGCCTCCGCCGCCAGCACCGGCTAAAATCGCAAATTCTGACTTTTTCTTTACTCCAAGACCTAGAAGATGTCCTGAAAAATGCAAATACTCAATCCATTTTTCTACTTTGTCTCTACAAAAGTTGTCGTAGTTATCATCATGTAAGTGAAAAATAATGTGTTTAACATTATCGTTTTGGAAGTTAATTGCGTCTTTTCCAGCAATACTGCCCGTAGCATAGGCTCATAAGCCGTTGGTTGGCACTGGGTTGGTAGTAGAAGGCGGGTCGCCTAAATCGCTAATTGAGTCAATAAAATCGGCATCCGGTCCTTTTTCATAATCAAATTCATCAGGATATTTTACTTGGTATTTATTGGGTAAATGGTCCTCTAATAATCTTTCTAGGTTTAGTAAAGCGTCCTTTTGTCCCTGACGGTTTACTACTAAACCAAGCTCGGTACCAGTATCGTCGTCGAAATCTGTATCGTCGATAATTATTTTGCTGGTATCTAGCACACCTCCGAAATCTGCAACGGACAATTTGAGTACTCGATTTTTAGCACCAGGAGAACTCTCATCCGTCATATTTCAATGGTCTTTCTGGTTATTTAAGTCTTTATCAATAATTAATTCAAAATCAAATTCATTTAAGGCATCAACTCCGAGCCCTTTGACCTCATCTTTCAAAAACATGATATTACAAAAAGTAGTTAAAATAGGGGTCGGACCAGTAATTTCAATGTGTAAAATTTGTTCTTCAGGTACGTTCTGGCTTACATTGTCACTGACCGGAAAACCTACATTGTCTAGGTCAAATTTACTATTACCACTTCACGCAAACATTTCCGCGGTTAGTTCGATAGTAAGAGTAGAGTCAGTTGTCGAATGTATGGGTGCCAAAACCACTTTGTCCTTATCGTCAATTGTAATTTTAAGTCTAGTTGGCATAATAATTAATTGTTAATTGATCTAAGTTTAGCCCAACTTCCGACGACTGTTTTTGGCAACTAACTGTTTTTTTTTTGGAATTACTGCCATATGATTATATTATTATTTTTTTGAATTGATTTGAATTTGGGCTTGATATTCTTTCGCCGATTCTGTCAGCAAACTCTCCAATTGCTCCTTTCACAAATGGGGATTTTCATCCATTATCCTTTCATATTTTTCTCTAATCAGAACATTAGCCTCTTTATAATTTTCGTTTTCGATTCGTAAATCCTCTAATTCCTTTTTTAATTCATTGATTTCTCGAATTAATTTCTCTTTTTCTTCCCGAAAATTTTGTGAATTATTTTCTTGTTTTTCCTTTTCTCCTTGTAATATTTTAAGGGCAACATTAAATTCTTTTCCTAATTTGTTTACTTGGCAGACTTGGGAATTTTCAAACTTTTCTTTTCAAAAAGTAGTTAATCTCTGAAAAGCGTCTCTTTCTTTAGACAATTGTGGCAATTTTTCCGATTTCAAAATTTTTTCTTTTTTTCATCTATTAAAATCACCATCAAACAGGGATAATTCGGCTAATATTTGGGCATGCCCTAAATCTTCCCCAGTCAATCTTTCTCTCATATCAGCCAAAAAAATTTCTTGCAAACTGTCCGACAAATATTCAAAACCATAATTTACTTCTGTGTTGCTAATACACAATATTTCTAAATTATGGCAATTTTGCAAGGGTTTTAGAGAACCATAAAATTGGTTATAAATAAGTAAATTTATCCTCGTTAAATCGCTGGTTCCTAAATAAAGTTCTTTTATTTGCAAAAAAGGCGAAAATACATTCAAATTGCTAGGACGAAAACAATTATTACGGAGATTTAAATAAAGTAATTTTTCCGGACATTTCAAAGTAGTAATAAATTCGATATTCAAAAGGTTGTTAAAAGAACCGTCCAAGCGAGTTAAATGTGAATTGCTGCCGATTGCCAAACCAGCCAGATT